ATTTTAAAGAAAAATTTTCTTTTTGACACACCATTCTGAAGAGTAACTTGTGCTCTACACAGTAGACTACTTTTTATTGCAGCTTCTTTTCAGAAAAGAGCGGATTTTATACGAGCGGCTTATTTTAGTTTAATTCAAGAATGGTGACAATCTTTAAGAACATTTGAATCGATTAGTACGTAAATGAAATCGATTTATAAATGAAGACATATTTCGCGTTTTTTTGATTTAGCTCAACATGTGAATGCTTTTGAACAAGATCTTTGTCAATTAGTTGACAATTAAAACAACTTGTCTATTTGGAAATTTGTGGTGAAATTCCTAAAGAAAGAATTGAACCTTATCTTTCAATGGTTTAAAATCATTGTCCAAATAGCCGATTTGATATTCAAATATTAAGATTTCGTCTTTCGATGTAATTATTATATCTAATAAGACATTGATAAACGTTAAAAATAACGGAATCATGTCTTTCTTCTTCTTTAATGATTAACTCATCAGGATACTTCATGTTATCCTTTTTTTTTATTTTGAAATAAAAAATAAAATTCATATCCACTTGTAACGAGGCCTTTGTTTTCAGCTAATCTTATATATAAACAGAATATCTAATCAACAATCATACTAACAACAAAAATATCATCAATTAAATATTTGAAATTAGTTTTATTATCATACTATACTGTTTGCTGTTCTATCATCGTGAATATATTCAAAGAAAACATATTATTCGAAAATATAAAACAATTTATAATGATTTTATCCAAATATGTCAATCGAATGTCGACGTTAGACTTGAATAGGAGTTATTAGAAAAGAGTTGTTTCAATGATGATAGCAGCATATCAAGAGAGCACATTTGGCCAAGTTTTATTCGTAACTTCCGAATTATGACCGCTTTGATTAATTAGTTATTGAAACATTAGATTATGAGTTCTTGCTTTTTTTGACAATATTAATATATAATGATGAGAACAAATCTTGATCTGTGGACGTCGATTAATGAAGTGAAATCATTGAAAGAGTCTATTGTGTGTCGTTATAAACAAGAACAAGCACAAAACAGGACAGCAAGACCAAGGAAAGGAAAAGATATACAAGATGATAACAAATTAATGTTAGCGAAAGAAAAACATATATAAGATAAAAATTTTGATGCCTATCAAAAATTTTTACAAACTGTTTCCCATCATCACATCAGCATTATAAAGGATGCTAAAGATAGTAGTCATAAAGAATATTTTTTTTTGCTATCTATTTGTTTTGTCAATAAATGTTTTTTTCAATTAAAACTAATGATTACTCGAATTAAAAAAACGTGGCCATCATTTGGAAACACAGTAAAAATGAAATCAACGTTAACTTCTGTATTCCAAATTACAATCACTGATGTGTTAAGTGGCTTAATTTTGGGTTGCAATTCTGATATAGCCGTAGCTGCAAATTTCTTTTTTTGTTATTCCCATGATCAGCCTTGTCCATTTAAAATTTCAGCAATATTTTTGTATTATCTTAAAGAAGTAAAATCATGTCCAAGTAGTAGATCATAATTTCTATTTATCGAATTATCTAAACATAAATATTACTTAAAGAAATTCAACATTTAAATTTTAAAATAACTAATGTTTATATACCTGTAGCAAATAATCTTGAAAAATATTACATAAAAACCAAATATAAAACGTGTTTTTTCCAATTTTATTATAAATGAGAAAAAAAAAAGAGTTAAATGCTTTTTTTCTGAAAGCATTTTATATCGTGTTTAGATAAGTAAATATTATATTTGTTAAATTAATAGTCTTTTAATCTATGTAAATAAACAAGAAACAAAAACAAACTGAATGAATATGTCTATCACAAACTTTTATCACAAGACAAAACAAAACAACGATCTAATATTTTGCGTATCGTTTGTCAAATAAAAAGTTTAATTTCAAATTATTCTACACATTTTCAGTCTAATTTCAACATATCTCTATCAATATTAATAAATCTCATTGTTGTGCCATAAATATTTGTTGTTGAACATTCATATTTTCCTAAATCAACTTCAAGATCAAAATCCGGTATTATCATAATTGATGTATTATCATTCATTGATAATTCATAATGAATTTTTGATCTTGGTATTTGATCATCAAATGTCCATTGATGATATTGATTTAAATTATCTAGAAAACAATTCATTAGAAACGAATTTTTTAAATTTTATATTCAAACAAAATTTACCTGTACTACAAATAAGTCTTAATTCACCATTGCTAAATAAATGTGATGTATCGATTGTTAAATTCATTTTTGGTTTTCTATCTGTTTGTTCGTAAATATTTGAATGTGTATTAAATATTAATGTACGTAAAATTTCATTTGATTGTGTCGATTTAATAAGACATTTATATTGATTATGATGTTCTAATTTAAATGGACGAAATTCTAAACGAGGACCACGAACATAAAAATGATTATTAGGTGTTGGAGAATTTGACCAAACTACTTTTCCTTGTGAAACATCTAAACATACAAAAAATAAAACCTTTAAAAAAAAATCAATTTACAAACAAAAATAAAATCATTATTACCTCGTCCTATTCGACATATTAAAGTAATATTATCTCCAATATATTTTCCTTGAATAATTTCAATAAAAGATTTATCATACTTATTTGGATTTATTTTTGGTAAATTAATTTTTGTTACAAATTCAAATAAACTTGGAGATAACACTAAATATTTTCGTTCATTATTACTTACACAATGATAATAATCGAAATGATTATTTGTAAATTTCGGTATATTAAGATAAGAATTATTTAATACTATTCCATCTATTTGTTTATTTAATAACCATTGTACTGGTTTTTTATCGGATGAAGAACAATTAATAAGAATATTTCCACCAAGTTTTATTTGACGTATTGATGAAAGAAATTCAATATGAAGATTTGAAGTCTTTTCTATTGGAAATATATGTGAACGAAGATTTGAAGATGTAATCTTAAAATCGATTGATGATTGTTGACTTTCATTTGATGATAAACATCGATAGTGACCAATATTTTTTTGACTTAGTTTATTTATAAAAAGATATGTTTCGGATATATTTTTATTTAATTTTCTTTGTTTTTTTATCCATACTTTTGAAAGGTTAGGATCTAAAATTTCATTAGAAAAGAAAAATAAATATATATAGTCTTATAAACTACTAAACAATATTCTACCTGAAGAAATACATTCAATAAGCAGACGACCACCAATATGATAATCCGAACGAGATGAATAGACTTGATATGAAAGTAATGATTTTATATTATTATTAGATATATCATTTGGTTGAAATTCAATTGATTGTGAAACACGTTTAGTATGAGTTTCTACTGAACAGGTATATGTTCCTAGATTGTCTGTATCGAAATTAAAAATTAATAAATGACCATCATTTGTTACATGTGTATTGCTGGGCAGTAAACCTGATTGAAATGACCAAGATAATTTATCAGGTAAAATACCTAAAGTTAAGTAGCTATTGATACATAAGTGATTATTCTATTCAATTTCATACCTTCAACATAACAATGTAACTCAACGATTCCACCTACTTTAATATCCGTTCGAGAAGTAATTAATTTAATATGAAGTTTAGGTGTTTTTGCTAAAGAAGAGGAAAAAAAATGTTGAGTATTTTTAATCAAATCTATGTACTTTTTCGTTGATTAGCTGATAAACTTCTTGCAACTTCATCATTAATAATAACTGCCATTAATTGTTCTGCTGAATAACGTTGAATACGAATTATTTTACTATGTAATTTTCCATTAATATCTTTTGCATGACATGTAAATTTTTGATTAATATGATTTGGTTCTACATAAAATGTAAGTGGATTATTTTCTCGTTCATGATGATTTGTTGATGACCACCAAATATTATTTGATTGTGATAGTTTACAATTAAAACGTATTTCACTATTAATAGTAAATATATTTGTAGGTTCAATATCAATTGAGATTTCATGCGTCATTTGTTGAACTATATAAATAAATTAAAAAATAACATGAAAATTTAAAAAAAATATTACCATCAAGAGTAATCGTTTCTGAAGTAGAACCATATTCATTTGTGGCAATACATATATATGTACCACTATGTTCGAATTGTAAAGGCATGTCCGATGGAAAAAGCGTTGTTGTTTTTGATATATCCAAATAATTCTTAAATATTTTAGTTTAATAATTCATTTTAATAGTATTGATCTACATACATTATCAGCACGACGCCAAGTGATATCTACTGTTGTGCTATGATCTTCAGTTAGACATTCGATGGTTTGAGTTGAATAATATGGTACTTGAAGATATCGATTATTCACTTTTGGTAAGATAATAATAGAAGGTGCAGATCCTATGTTTTTTTTCAAAAGAAAAGAAAAAAGAAATTAAATTTTTACTCGTATTTTTCTGTAAGGATTATTTTTGTGTACCAGTAATCTCAAGTGTAACTATTTCTTCAGTGAAGCCAACTCGATTTTCGCCACGACAGACATATTGACCAATATCTGAATCTAATACGTAGTCGAAATCAAGAATACCATTTGAATGTTGATTTGGTAATATTATCAATGTAGTATCTTTTCTAAATTATTATTGAAGAGATAACACAAAAGTTTATTCATGAGAAGGAACAAGGAACAATAAAATCATTTTCAATGATTTATTCATAAAAGTTCAGTAACGATGACAAATATTGATATCAAGTTATTCGGCAATCAGATGATAATGTATGAAGTAGATCTCGTAAATTTTCATATACTCAAATATGCATTGATATTAATACTTATTTATTTAATAGGATTCTTAGAAAAGTCTTCATGAACCAGGCATACACCGAATCCGAAATTTCTGATTCAGATGTAGTTCTCCCTGCAGTCATGTTCAAGTAACTAATAAAAGAATGTAGAAGTAATGTAATAGAAAAGATTCCAAGGTTGTCGATAGTAAATTTCCAAACGGTGGAATAAATAATATGAATGCTGAATGATGACAGGCATCCGAAAAGAATATCAACAATGTTCAGAAATACCTGAACTTGAGATGTTTTCATAATTGTTCATATAGCTCAAGAAACACTTAGGCAATTACGAAAACGTTCAACACTCTGGCAATTGGTTGAATAGGTTCCGAACTCAAACCATTCGTCTTGAACACGAAACCAGAGGTCTAATTCGATGCATTCCTACCATGAACAACAAACAAGTCTTCTATGACAGCAATAGTAAATCAAAACATTTCTAAACAGTTATCTGTTGTAAAAAGCGAAATAATTTCAATCGAAAAGATGCAAGAAGACTGTCTCACTTTAAAGATATCACCAACTTTTTCAAAGCATTTAAGACTAATAATAATCTTTCTGATAAAACGTTCCGCTGATCAACAGATAGATTTTAGAATTCTAAATAAATAAATAAATGTATGTGATGCTTTGATTTGAGCCTACATTAGGTATACAAGAATCGTAGTTCAAACCTTGTTGTTTTAGATTCCTTTACTACATAAATATAGCTTATTGATAAATAGTTAAAATTGAATAAGACTTAGAAAAAGAAATGTTAGAACTTCTTGTCTATCTTATCATTTTGTGAACGTTGAACAAAAAGACTTAAATAATTTTTTCTCTAATTAAGAATTAAAATTACACACCTAAACCAACGAATTGCAGTTGAATAAGTTTCATATGGATCAAAACATTTTATACGCAATTTGTCTCCTTTTGATGTTCGAATATGTGTTGATGGTTCAATTAATAATTTTGGCTTAAGACGAATAGCTAAATCAACCCATATATCAATCAGTTCAATATTAATAAAAATATACAGATCAGTTAACTAAGACTACTTTCAAAATATTTCTAAATCTATATGTATATATATATATGTATGTGCGTGTGGGTGCAATGAGCTACATTTACAGTGTTTTTGTTTAAAAGATCTTGTTTATGAAGTTAGTCGAAAAAAAAATACAAACAACAACATTAGTAATAGTAGTTATTAGTAGCTTTAGCAAATGAACGAGAGAGAGAGTGAGAGAAAGAAAGAAAAGAACACCGTTGGGCAATTAGCAAAAAAAAGCAGCGCAATAGGAGAAAAGATAGACACTGTGTTACAGTTACACACACAAATCATAATAAACGACGAATACACAGGAGCTAACTGAACATGCACACAACCAAAAAAGAAAGAAAGATGAGCGTAGCTAGTCTAAAACATGTGATCATATAGGAGGAACTACAAAGCGAAAAAAAAGAAAATTTAATCAATTTTAGCTTGAAATAATAAAAACCTAGTTTTTACGAAAATAGATACCAGATAAAACCAAAAGAAAAAAAAAGACATAATTGTTGTTCTACTGATATTGACTAGTGTGCATATTTATTTCACACAAGTTTATATCTATTTACGAGCGTCGCTTCTTTTTCTTCTTACTCGACTCATCTCCACCGCGAATAGTGACCGGTACATAAGCATGATGTGGTTGATCATGACCTGGAACATCAACTTGACATTGCAAGTACGTTTGTCCAGCAGGTGAATCATGTGTTGGTGCTACTATAACATTATTTCCTTCTTGCTATTGTTCATAAACAGAAAAAAAAATCTATACAAAAAATAGAATTCTTGTGATTAATGCATACATGTGCATAATTTGGAAGACTTGTATCATGTGCATATTGGCCCCATGTTACTTTATATTGGTCAGCACCTTCAACTCGACATGTAATTGTTGCTTTTTCACCATGTCCAAGAGTTACTTCGGATGGATCAGCAATCACTTGAATATAATCAGATGGTGGAGCATGTTCATGTCCATTTTGATGCTTGTGTTCATAACCTTCTGCTGAACCACCTTTAATAGAAATTTGCATTTGAATAACTCTAAAGAAATCACTTTTTTACCTGCAAGTTGAAGATCATAACTACTTTGTTGTGTTCTGATTCCAGGTGCACGTGGGAAAGCAACTTCACATCTAGATTTTTACAAAATATACTTTATTAAAAACAGATTTATTTTAAATTCTCTTTTACCGATAATGACCAGCATCACTTGCTTGAGCATTACGAATAATTAATTCACCGTTTGGATGTACTTCAACATCTAATAGACAAAAACAAAAAATAACAACAAGAAATATTTTAATAAAATATAAATCAATCGAATTTTACTATTTTGTAATGGTCCACCATCTTTTGTAAATGTATATTCATATGGACGTTCAACACTACCATGAACAGCACAGTGTAAACGAATATCACGTCCAACTTGAAGATTTTCTACATCATCGCGTGATAAAAGACGAACATTAATAAAACTACGTGAACCATCATGATCATCACCTATAAAAGAATTATAAAATATATGTAAGATTTTTTTTTTGATTTTAGCAATGAAAATAAAATAAGTAAATGTATGGCAAGCAGATGCATAAAAAGAAAACAAAAAGGGTTACTACATGAGCGAACATTAAACATTAGAATATCATAAGTATTTCCATATGAACAATTATAAATTCAAGTCCATTATCTTGTTTTATTACAGCACTCAATAATGAATAACCATTTGAAAATCAAAGACCAAGTGGTATTTGTTGATGTTGTTTGTCTATTATAACGTGTTACATCCAAACGAAGTTTTGATGGGATCAATATCTGTTCGATAAACAGTTGCAAAACGACATCTTTCATGTAATTTCAATTGACGAGTATTTCACTGAACTCTTTGATATTGATTAACTATTATTTAATTAATTAATAAGCAAAAAAGCAAAGGAGGTATTTTATGTGAGAAAAGCAAAAGCAATTTAAAAAGAAAACCAAGCAATTCAACTGTTGCTTACCAGAATGATCTTGATGATCATCTAAACGACCAGAAAATAAAATAGAAATATGATTAAATTTATTTTAAAAAGGGAATACTAGATTTGTTTTTTTAAATAAGTAAAGCACGGATATACAGAAGGGGACTTCACTAAAGGAATTATCTACGAAAATTCAAAATATTGTTTATTTATTTTTTTTAAATATTTTTGCTTTTTGTAACCGATTAAAATGTTTAACTGCAAATAAATAGTTGATTTTATGCTTTGTTTATTTTCTTAATGAAGAATATACTTACGTGTTTCTTTCCATCGAACATTAAGAGATTTTGATGCTCGACCATGAGAATTAGTTGCATCAAGAGTATATTGTCCTGCAACATCATCTGATCGACCTTCAATATGTAATGCGCCATCATTACGTGTAGTTACACCATCAGGTAAATCCGCTGAACCATCTTTTGTCCATGTTGCTGTTCCTCCATTTAAACCCTAGTTTTAATTAAACAAATTTCGATTTGTTTTTAATAGAAAAAGAAATTGTTGTTTTTATTCTTTACATAAATATTTGGTACTATATCAAGTTTTTCACCATGTGCAATTTCATATTGATCTTGTTGAAGATTGATTTGTGGTGCAGCTGCTTGTTGACCACGATTACGACCACCACGTCTTGGTTCAACATTAATATGTAAGTCTTGTCGATCTTCACCATGTGGATTACGTACAGTAACTTGATAAGTACCAGCTGCTTCAGGTGTAGCACGATTAAGTACAAGACGATTTTGTTCAACAGTAAATAACGATGGAATTGATTGATAACCTTGATCAGTTAATTTACTCCAAACGACTTCAATTGGATCGTGAGACTAAACAAAGTAACAAGAATCATACAATGAATAAATAGACTAAAAAATTTTTTTTTTATGTTACATACAGCAACTGAATATTGAACGATCATACGCTGACCTTCTTTTAAGTTGATTCTTTGTGGATGAATAGTTACTCGTGGTGGAGTGCCTAAACACATAACAAAATAGAGATATAAACAAAGTTTTCTATTATTCTAATTTCTTTTTAAACAAATAAGCAAAAACAAGACAACATTAATTAAGATAACCTTTCCGTTTAGGAAATTTTGTTATCATAATTTTTTGGAAGTCTGTTTCATTTTTTAATTTATCTTCTATGATATAATAAATAAATAAGAACAAAATAAAAAAACAAACAAGCTACTAATTCTTGAAAACTTACCACCAGGTGATGGAGGTCGTTCACTGGGTCGTACATGAATTTCATATGAAGCTCTAACTGATCTACCATCAGCAGTATATAATTCACAATAATAAGTACCCGAATGATCAGGACGAGCACTAGTGATTTGTAAAGAATTACCATGTTGTTGGATACCTGATGGAAGTGGTTGACCATCATCACGCGTACATTGAGCTCTATTAAAGTCACTTGGGGGTTGAATTAATTGACTTGCACCTTCATTAATTGATAATGGACTTGCTGGAGTAAATACTGGCGGATGACGGTCATAGGACCATTCTCCTTAAAAATTATGATTTAAAGAAAATTTATTTTCTAAAAGAACAAAGAAAAACAATGTATATGTATACCTGGATGATAACTTATATAAACAGGAATACGTTGAGTAAAACCATTAGGATGCGTTATTGTGCAAATATAATTTCCAGCTTGTTCAGGTGATGGATTTCGAAAGATAAGATCATAACCATCTTGAAAAACTCCTGCTGGTAATGAACTACCATCAGTACGACCCCACACAACCGATTGTGGTTGAGCATGCTGAAAAAAAAATGATAATTATTACATATTAATATATACATAATCAATTGGTAACATACATGAACTTGAAGTGGAACACGTTGTTCTGGTTGATTACCATCCAAAACAATATTTATTTGTGTTGGATTATGTGGATCATATGGTCTTTGATCCAAATAATATGTACCTTGTACATCAGTATCCTCTGATGGTTCTGGTTCTGGTTCTGGTTCTGGTTCTGGTTCTGGTTCTGGTTCTGGTTGTGGTTGTGGTTGTGGTTGTGGTTGTGGATCTAAATAAGTTTTATTTTTAAAATAAAATTCTATTTTCATATATTTTTACGTGGTTGATAATAATCATCTCGTACACATTGATGGCTTCGCCCATCAAGTACATAACCTGGACGACATCGTTCACATCGATCACCATCACTATTACCTTGACAATTCTATCCAAGGCAAAAAAAGAATATATAAGTGTAATAATAAAATTTCAAAATATAATGCTATATATGATACATACCAAACATCTGCCAGTTTCTCGATCACATTGATCTGATCGTTCATGACATAGTGCTCGACAAGACCAACATTGACCCAAATAAATACCAACTAATGGATGTGGACGACCATAACCTTCAGCACATTTTTCACATGATGTACCAGTATAATTAGCTGGACAACGACATGATTCAACTGTTGGTGCTGCATCAGCATAACCAGCAGGCTTAGCAGCGTGTAAAGTAACACCACGAAGACTAAAATTAAAGAATTAAATAAAAATTAAAAAAATATTTTTTTTTATTATCGTACACAGCATTACGTCGACCACCAACTGGATTTATTTTAATAAGTAAACTATCCAAGTCTGATAAAGCCATCAGAATATTTTCTCGATCAATATGTGAACCATCTTTACGTGTAAATGTTCTCTAGAAAACAAAAGAAATGTTATTAAAAAGCAATCACCATTTTTTTTTATTGTTTCTAATGTTCATACCTCATTACATGGTATCGAATAAGTAGCATTACGATTTGCTTGAAATCGTTGTGTTTGAGGAAGTTTATGAACAAGATCAATATTATTACCACGTAACCAAATAAATTCATCATTACTTGGTGCTTCATGATCATTACCATCATTAGTAAAATGTATATCAATATGACCATCATATAATGTAACATAGTCACCAAGAGCTTCTTTTGGTGCTTTCCAATAAAGAACTTCATTATTTGATCGACCTAATGAACTTTGATCAAGAGTTATTTCATGTCCACCATGACGTTGTTGAATACGGCCACGTGCTTCATATGGATCAGTAGCAAAATTCTTTGGTACAGCACTCCAATTATTTAATGGAAGTGAGGTCTAACAGAAGAAAGAAAAACTTGATTTCTTGTTATTTTTACTAATGAAAGAAAAGAATATTTTACAGCTTGTCGTCGCCATTCCGTAGATGTACAATCACTTGATACACCCGAGCAAAAACATGGTAAACACCCGTTTGGTGTTGTTGGATTTAAATAGAAATGACTACGTTTACATTGATCACATCGATCACCTTGAACATTGTACTTGCAAACACAACGACCATTACGTTCCATATGTGTACCAGATGGATCACAATCTATTTGAAATACAGAAATCAATTCGTTTTTTTTTTATTGTTTTAAAATAATGATCAAAATACGAACGTGAGACAGGAGCGGGTGGTATTGGTTGACAATCGTATGGTGTTCCACGACGGGCATCTCCTTGATAACCTGCAGCACAATATTCACAATAATGACCAGCTGTATTATGTTGACAATTCTAAAAATAAAAGGACAAATACTTTTCTTTTTTCTTCTTATACATAACAATCAGAGATCTCCATTTCGGTCACGATCAATGTGCATCAGTTTTTTCTACCAAAGATTATTATATCTTCACGTTTCAAAGGGTATTTTGAAAATGATACAATTTTGAACAAAAGTTTCAATTCGAATTATTCTTCTAGTCTCGTCAGAGAAAGACTGTTGTGAAAAATTGTTTGTTTTTCTGTTTTTTAGTCAAAACCAGAAATCTCAATACAGATGACCAATAATACTACGTACTTGACATATTCCATCTGGTGTACAATATGATGAATGACCATGACAATTACATGGTGCTGGTGTCGGTGGTGGTTGTGTAGGAACGTCTATTAGAGAAAAAAGAATTGTTAATATAAAATGACTTTTTTTCTTCTTTTAACTACAAAAAATACAAACCAATAAGAACATGAACAATGGCATCAGGAATAGCAAAAGTAAAACCTTGATTATTAAGGGCTTCACATGAATAAGCACCAGCATCATTTCGATTGACATTACGAATTGTAAGTGTACCAATAACAACTGTTGGATCATGTGCATCTAAAGCTTGTCCCATTGTACAACGGCCGTTATCAGAGCCATCACCACATATATGTCCCCAATTAAGACGCCAATTAATATATGGTGCTGGTGAACCACGAGCAGTACATCGAATAGTTAATGTTTCACCAGCATTGATTTGAATTTGACGTTCTGGTGATGAAATAATTATTGGCTTAACTTGAAGACAAAAATGAATAAATAAATAAAAGAATTATTTAATTGTTCATTTAAACTTACCACAACCAACTTCATCCGAACGATCAGGACAATCACTATGACCATCACATTGAAATGATCGTGGAATACATACTGGATTTCCATATGAATCATTAACACCTTGACATTGATATTCACTTGGTTTACAATAACGTTGTCGTGGAAGTAATTCTACAGAACAAATATGAATACGAACATCTCGAAAATTATCATATTGCTTTTAACATACCACAATAATGTTGTTGTTCATCACTTCCATCATCACAATCACTAAAGTGAACGAATTTAGATTTGAATATTTTTTTTCTTAATCTGTCTTACCGGTCACCATCACACATCCAAAATTTCTGAACGCATTTTCTTCCACGATTAGGATTTGAACAATGAATTTCATTTGGTTGACATACATCAGAACCTACAAATTTTCGAACAAAATATATTTTCTATTCATTTAGTTTCCTTTTTTCGTTTTTCTTCGATTTCAAATAAGCAATGCAGCATGCAGCTGCTTCGAGATGCATATTATTATTTTCTTGTGTGCATTTAGCGAGAATATAATGTCTTAGAAATAGAGCAATAAGCTTATTTTCTTACCACCTCCATCAGCTTCTAGATAGATAACGTAAGAAAATCAGTCACAGAAAAACACAACTTTAAATTCAAAATTAAACTTACGTCCACAACTTTCGTCACTATTGTCACCACAATCATTTTTACCATCGCAAATATATGAACGAGGGATGCATCGACCGTTACGACAGTTTGCTTCATCAACACCGCATACACCAGTGGGTGATACTGGTTGAACAGGGTCAACTAAATAGACAAAAATAAATTATATTTGAATTTCGTATTATATATGAGAGTCTACCTGGCGCTGGCGCTGATCCTTAACAGATATAACAGAAAAGAAAAAAATTACTCAAAACATTATTTTTAAATTACCCGCGAATGTCAAAACACTATTAGCATCTGTATAACCGCTACCAGGAATAGAACATCGATAAGTACCCAAATATGACCGTGAAATTGGACGAATATGAAGAGTTTTACCACGTGGATAAAGTGGTTGTTCATCCGTAATAAGCTAAAAGCATTAAAAAATATTTTTCATTATTTAATTATTAAAACCACTTATGAGCATATAAAAAAAATCAATATATGAGCCTAACCATGAATCTCGATATACTCACTTCTGAAGATTCAGTCTATTCTCATCGAAAAGTGAAAAAAAAATAAGAATGAAAATCAATTTTTTTTAAATAAGAGCATAATTTCCCTGTTAGAACTAAAGCTCGTTTTAAACTTACCGAGCTGTCAATTAGCTATAAAAATAAATAAAAAGAAAATATTATTTCAATTAACTAAATGGAACTTGTCTTTTTTTATCTTTTTCTTTTTAAAGATTTTATATTTATATTCGAAACCAAATGAAAAATGAATACATACTCGATTATTGAAGTGCCATTGAATACGTGCTTGGTCTTCTGGTGCTGCACCTTCACATTGAATTTCGACATAATCACCATCACTCATATCTGGTGCAATAATACGTAAAGTGCCTTGACCATCTGCTATGAAATAAATAGAAATTTAAATGAAAGTTTTCTTATGTAACTGTACGTGAGGGTTCAACATCTGGATATTCTGGTTGTGGACGATAACCACCATCAGTTTCTTGCATAGTAACGATAGCTGCACCACTGTTTCCAGAATTATCTTGTGCCATACATGTATATTTACCAATTTTACTTGGATCGTCAAGTGTAATACGTGCTTTTGATATAACTTCTGATCTTTGTACTTGTTTATCATTTGGTTGAGCTGGATCTAATGAAGCGTAACGCTAAAAATGATTTCAGAAATACTTTTTTTTAGATAGAAAGAAAAAAAAACAAATTCAATATATTTTACTCGTTCAGGTTCTTCTTGAATCCAGTAAATATTTGTATTTGAATCACCACCATGAACGGTACAAGTTAATTCAACTGTTTGGCCACGTCGAACTTCCAGATGTGTTGGGCTGACAATTACATGAAGTTCTATTCGACCGCCTTGATCCGGTTTCACGTCTGATGGCTCGGTAGAGTCTAAAGAATAAAAGTAAACAAAAAAATAAATGTTCTCAATCTGCACTCCAATTTGTTTAACAGTAGAAGAAATGATCTCTATCTGCAAATGAGTTCTTGAGATGAACTTATTCGCCCTATATCTTATTAATTGATTGCTGAATATCACATTTCCTGATAGTCAACTTTTGTTTTTTTTAGAATTCTATAAATGTCAATTCTTTTACATATTATTTTAGAAAAAATAAAAGATGAATACATTTAATATTTATACTTGCCTTCAGCATCATCGGTTGATGTTGTATCTCCTAAAAAAGAGGATATATAATTTATCGTTATATCATTCAAATGCAGAAAAGAAATAAATAAACAGTTAGCAAAAATAAATAATAAGTATTTTCATGCAATATAGTAATATAGCCTAATTTGATGATTATTATAAATCAATAGTATTACACGATTACTGATATATGTACCGATTGAAAAGAAGCTAATCGATCAGTAAGCAATGAGCACCGTTACGAAATTATAGACGATACGTATTTATTTTATCAATCTCACTTGTCGGACTCGGAACGGGTGATACTTCAGGAGTTGCGTGTCCTTCTTCCTCTTTATTCTCATCATAATATTCAACATCATCTGATGAATCTTCTATGTCATTCACTGCTTTTGGAGTTGTTTTTACTGTTGTTGTTGTTGTTGTTATTATTATTGTTGTTGTTTTAACATCTCCATCTTCAATAGCATCATCTTCTTCATTGTCGTTAGCATTTTCAGGCACTGTAGTTGTCTTTTGTGGCTGTTTATTTTCTTCGTTTTGATCATCATAATATGCTATTCATGCGCAAACACACATTTATAAAACTCATGCAAAATAAGAATCACTAGAAAGCACACTGTCGGAAAAGACTTACCATCTGTATCTTCTGCGCCTGAAATATAAAGAAAAATATCGATTAATTATTCAATTATTTCATGTAGAAAAACAAAAGCCAACACATGCAATAAAAGCAAACAGGTAAGCGAAAAAAAAGATTTATTATTCTTTTGGTATCGTCGTGCACACACGATTTCATTTCAAACCCGGATAATATAATCGGTACCTGTCGCTGTTGTCAATGTTTCAGTACTAGTTACACTATGATCTTCTGTTGATGCTTCGGTACTAGTACCATCAGTAGAAGAACCATCAGTCGAAGCACCATCAGTAGAAGAACCATCAGTCGAAGTACCATCGGTAGAAGAACCATCAGTCGAAGCACCATCGGTAGAAGAACCATCAGTCGAAGCACCATCGGTAGAAGAACCATCAGTCGAAGCACCATCGGTAGAAGAACCATCAGTCGAAGCACCATCAGTCGAAGCACTATCAGTCGAAGCTCCATCAGTCGAAGCACCATCAGTGGAAGAATCATCGGTCGTAGCTTGATCAGTTGTAGCACCGTCGGTGGTAGCACCGTCGGTGGTAGCACCATCGGTCGTAGCACCATCGGTCGTAGTGTCATCAGTAGTAACAGCCTGAGTAGTAGCACCATCGGTCGTAGTGTCATCAGTAGTAACAGCCTGAGTAGTAGCACTATCGGTCGTAGCGCCATCACTAGTAATAGCTTGAGTTGTTGCACTATCGGTCGTAGCATCGTCAGCAACTGTTGTTTCATCTTTAATAGTAGTTATATCAGTTGTTGTTTCTTCTGTTTGATGACCATTTCCTGGTTTAGCTGTTGTAGGTACATCAGTAGTATCTTCAGCAGTAGTTGATGCTTCAATAGTAACATCGGCAGTTGTTGCTGCTGCTTCTACTGTAGTAGCGCCGATAGTAGTATCGTCTGCAGTTGTTTCGGTGCTACCACCAGAAGTTGTTGTTACATCATCAGCAAGAATTGTAGCTGTGGTTCCAGGTGGTAAGACAATTGTAACACCATCATTAAGTATAACTGTTGCCGTGTGTACTGCACCAGCAGTTGATTCTTCCGTGGTAACTGTACCTGTGACTTCTATATAGCGTATGCGTGTGTGTGTGTATGTATGTTAGTAAGTAAGGAGAAGAAGAAAGAAAATTTTAGCAGTACAAAAAAGCCAGCTTAATTTATAATGTTAGAAGAAACAAAAAAGAAAATTAAAAATATCTTCTACAGGTCTTACCATTATCATTTGCATCTTGATCAGCTAAAATAGAAAGAAGAAAAAAGAAATAACTAATTCATTATTCAAAAATAGGTATAAAAAACTCAAAACTTCTCAACACGCAAAGCAAATAAGAATAGAAAGATTAAAGAAAACAGAAAAGAAGTCATGAAGCTGGATGTATTCTTTTGTATATCATTATTATACTTGGTAGTCAAATTTTTCAATCAAGTATTGATACAAATGGAAAAGTAGTTTCAGTTACATCTGTTGTTATTTGTCGTAGATTAATATGATCGCTTTCATTATACTAATTGTTTCTGTACTTTGACCAATAGTAATTGTGGCAATGGTTGCAGTTGGTATTCTGGCTACAGTCGAATGGTTTGACGGACATTGGCAAGTGATTCTTTTTGATAATGATAAATTATTATTACACTTATCATAGTTAAACTCATCAGAACTATCATCATAATCAAAACTTTCATCACATTAAAGTATTGCGTTGTTTAATCATCTTTGCAAGATTAAGTTCCTTCCGGACAATTATTGCCTTCGAGTGCGAGCAAGCAAAGAGCAAAAAGAGAGCGTGAAGAAGTTAATCATTAAAATAATCATAGGAAAGAATAGTGACAGATATTTATATGTATGATTTATAGAAAAAGTAAAGATAGTAACTTGTTTTTTTTATTGACATTAACTTACTTTCATCGTCTTGTCGTTTATACCTTAACCTTGTATCGAGTCTGGCGGAGGCACTCTGATGTACAAAATTTTTAATTAAACAGATTTATAGAATATAAAAAAAAAGATTCTCTTACTTGTGATATTGATATACTTGCCATAAAACAAAAACACAGCAATAAACCTGTGATAATTCTTACATCCATCCCGGAAAAGCTAGGATCGACAAGTTTAAATAAATGTTAAGAGAATGATATCTGAAAAATTGAAAAAAGAAATATAAAAATCAAACTTTTATTTATATACACACTATTTAGTATGCTTCATTCTATATACTAGAAAAAGAAGCCATTTGATTTCTATAACCTATTATGATGCAATTCTCTTAACTATCTAAGTTATTCTTTTGAGACAGAAAGACTATTAGACTTCATCACATATGCATATCAAATATAAACAAATTCTCTTAGAGGACATATCTTTTTTCATAGATCATAATATGGTTCTCACACACACATATATCATATATATATTATCTATTAACGACTTTAAAACACAATGACATATAAAGGACAAGGTTTAAAATAATAATTAGCAAATATTTATATCAAAGAAAAAACAAAAGGCTTTTCTTGAAATTTTTTTCGCATCATTATTATCTATCAATTATTACTTACTTTAGCTTTTCTCCTGAGGAAAAAAAAATGAGAAATGGATGTGCAAGTTATATACTTATACGAGAAAAACGACTGGTTTTCTCTAACATATACACAAACAAGTAGTCAATATCATGCAAGTCGTGTCTATCTTTTGTCTAGTAAAGAGAAATAATTTTTTCTTCTTCCCTGTTAACATTAGCAGCAAATCTGACGAACAAACAAATAAACAGTTAATACTAGAAGCTAGAAAAAATCGAGCTAACCGTCCTACTGTGTTAGTATTTTTTCTCCCTATGGTAGTTGTTGTAATGAGTAATAAATAGTGGTGAAAATCCCAATACTGTAGACCGCAACAGTAACATCTTTTCTTTCATTATCTTTCGTCCTTTTCTTTCTTTTCTTCACCAATGATAAATTATCCAAAATATTATGTCTTTCACAGCAGCTACATCAATTACGAGAGAACGACAAACAATATCATCAGAAAGATGTATTGGTTGTACGATCATCAACACGAAAATATTTATATATGTATGCATGTATATATCATTCTTACAATCATAATTGGTATAGTAATATGAGTGTTTTTTTCGGAAAAAACTCGGAATAAAATTTAGGCTATTTAGTTATACAAAGAAAACTAGATTGTTTTTTTTTCTAAAAATGTAATTCGTTCAGTATCTTTGTCTATCATCATTATGTCAGTAAAAAAAAGATAAGGAACGTTTCCCGGCTCAGTTAATTTAAGGAAAACTTATTGCATTAATATAAGTTAAGGTACGGTATATCAACACTTACATCTGTCTTCTTTAATCTTTTTGTCTAATTCGTGCTTCTCTTTTTAAGTTGATACAAAGTATATATATATATAAAATAATAATAGCAACAATATTTAATAAATCGACGAACAACGACCACGACAAGTAAAGAAGAAGAAAAAAGACTATATAGCCATATATACAGAAACTTTTAAACAAGTGTAAAAACAGGCGACACTATTTCATTATTTATTGATCCATGGTAATTGTTACTCAGTGGGTGTTACTCAATAACGAAAAATTTACTCACTTCAATACGGAATTCTTTTTTTTTTTTGTTCAATTAAGTTTTATAATGTATACATATGTCTTGTGTATGCTTATCGATCATCATCATCACCAAATTAATAAGATGCATGATATAGTAGTCTTCTTATGATGGAATTTGCCAATCCATTACGATCGACAAGGACATGACGATTGTTCAAAATATTTGCTTCTTTATATGTTACAACAGACACGCGTCACTCTTTTTTTTGTCTCTCTATACTCATTTTTTCTTGACATGCAGCCGCAAACCACAGGGACTGCATTAATACAGAAACGAGAGCGTCAACGGCAAATGTTTACTGCATAAAAAAAGAAAAAGAGAAGGTCGATTGGCGTTTTTTTCATTACAACCATCATATTCCTTTATTCAAAAGATTGATTCTTATTGACGATCGTGGGATGCCTATCAACCGAGAAAACAAAATTTCTCGCTGGGATGCCTATTTTTTTCTCTTTTTTTTTCGTTTCTCTATCTCTCCTCGTTATACTTTAGCTTATACAACGAAAATATCGAGCGATAGTAATTGAATGTCTCAACAAGTGTTTCTATCATGCCTATGCATAGTCTATCAAAACATTCTAATTGAGTAAAAAGAGAAGAACAGTGCACAAATAGTTTTTATCCGCTTATGGCATTGATCATCTCATGTTTATCATTTTTCTATAGATTTCTATCAAAAAGCAAACACTCACATATGAGACATCAAAAAAAAAAATTTGATCCGCGCAAAAAAAAAAAGAACCTCGATGCTCATTATTGAAAAGTAAAACCATTTCCTTTCGAATGTATGCGATATTAATGACCTTGGTCCTGCATATCTCGTCAAACAAATGTCCTAACGTACACATTCCAAAATCATCTTTTCTCTTATATGAAATATTCCGATTGATCTACTTAGCATCATGATTCGTTATTTATTTTATCTGTTTTTTTTCTTTTTTTTTGTAATACGACACGAAAAAAAAATCATATTTAAAAATCGCTTAAACTAATAAATCTTATCATTTGTTCTTGACCTTCATTAAAAAGATAAAAAGAGAAAAAAAGGTAGGTATGGTCTATAAATAAACATAAAATACTTTTATTCTACACGGAAAATGTTAAGTTCTTTTATTTTAGATACATGATCAGTATTTGAATAGGATATGTGGAACTTATGGATATGTATTTATAGATGTATACGAAGCTTTTCATCACAAGATTATAACTGTCCCGTGATGTCCCATCAATCAGTGTCATAGAAACAAAATCCAGTAGGCGATAGATAAGACAAGAGCACGTTGATGTTGCCTATCATCAAACTGTTTTTTTTTCATAATTGCCAATATCATTCACATTTACATATAGAAAAACCTATTGTCTCATATTACTTTGCACACATACTCGTTTACAACACTCAACAATATAACCTTGAAATTGTATAGATGAACATATGTAAGTGTGTTGTATGTATATAATATTTGCAATCCTTTCAATATTTCGAAACAAATCAGCTTACCTTCGATATATTTTACTAGAATAAACGAAAAGAACAACATACATATGCAACTGTGACCAAAAAAAATTGGAGATATCGCAAGCGCACATACAAACATGCCTACATACATATACACACACGTTCGATTATGTTTATATCAGCATCATTATCGTCGCTGTGTCGTCGGCTCTCTTCGTTTCTTTTTTTCTTTTTGTGGTTGTCTATCTATGTATGTATGATGTGTATATAAAGGCTGTTTTTTCTTTCTTGCCTATATTAGTCTGATAGGTTTTTTTCGGGCATACGTAAAGTGCAAGCGATGAAAATCTAGTTAGTGTATGAGTCCTTTTCTTTTCAAGCTCGATCTTTTTCCTCATTGGTAATTTCGTTTATTATCAGTGTATTTTAAGGTGACTATCAAATAAGCGTACAATACTGATTTTATTGTATTGAGAAAAAGAAGAGCGAAATTGATATTATTTGCTACTAATTATGAGTATTTTCAATGAATAAGATATTTATAATAATAAATGTGTTTTAAAGTGGTAAGTGCCTGTACAAAATGAGAGAATAGGTATATATAATATGTGCATTGAAAATGCATATGATAAAGCAATCATTTCTATGGTAGCCTATAGAAGGATTCAAAGAAATTACAATATATTTATTATTAAATGACAACTATAGTCAATAAAATAGAAAAATTTTATAATGTACAATGAATAGAGATTCTTGTATTGCGTCTCAAATAATTGTTTATCATTGATGAATATATTCTTCAATGAAAGATTTTGGTTTTTGTTTTTCACTCTGGTCATTATCTTTAGGCCATCTATTAATTGCTAATGGTTTTCGACGCAGATGTTCTTGATGATGATGATGATGATCATGATGATGATGCCGATGACTATGTTGATGACGATGATTCATTCGACTAAAGAAAAAAAATATTATAATCGAATAAAAACAACCTTAAAATTTTTGAGTAGATACTATACTTATAATTATCATGACTTTTATTCTGTTGTAACCATGACAATTCAAGAGGTCGTTCATTATATGGACCCTTTAGTTTGTCATGTTGTGTCTTTGGTATTGGCGATTCTTTTGGTAATTCAGATTCTGATTCATATTGAGAATCTGAATCATGAATTGTATTAGATACAATTGATTCAGGCTGATGATTATTCACATATGTTCTAACGTGTCGAAATGTTAAAGTTTACAAATACTGATTTGATCATCTTACTTTTCTTCTTTTGTTTCTTTGTTACCATTATTACCCATAGTTTGTTCGATCTCAAGTGATTTATGTGTCTTTTGAAATTTGCTTTTTCTTTTTTACTTTTTTTTTAAAATATACTATTTACATAAGAGAAAATATGAATTATTCGAAAGAAAAAAAAGGATCGACACATATGCTGATTCCATTAGTTTGAAGTACTTCACTTGAAAATATGCAATCGATCAACGAACGTGCGCATCAAACTTCATCGATTTGAAGGTCAGAAAAAAAAAGAATATTATGTATACATAAAGTATTTTTTAAGTAATGGATTAAGTTGACAGAAGAAATGTTCTTCACTATTCACTGAAAGCATTCACCCACACATTGAAGGTCGATAAAACTAAATTTTCTTTTTATTCATCTAGTGAAGTTGAATAACGAAAAGCTCATATGATTATCACATAAAATTATAATTTAGTTTCATGATTCAACTGATTGAATGAAGATAAATAAAATATTGTTCAAAATAATATGATTATATACGATCATTAATTAATTTTCTATCCTACCAAAACAATCCTGACTAAAAAAAAAATTATTCGCCATTTTGATATGAATAAACATTCAAAATTTGCCGTTGGTCATTTACTTATATCGAAGAACAAGCTGTGAGCTTTGACATTATTTCAACATATAATATCTAAAAAAAAGGGAGACACACACTTGCTCTTATATGCAAGAAGTAGGCTTATCTAGATTATTAACGGAACTCGAAGAAATCTTCAGCTTCATCTGAACAACCTTGATAGAAGATTTATTAACAATGCAGTCAATCAAAAGTCTAGAATCAATAAACTTTGTTTTTCTGAATCTATCAATCAACATTGTTAGGATTCTATAGAGTCGTCCAGCAATAATTTTTTTTTAATGTTTTCATCGAGAACGTCGATGATCTTCTAAAGCTGATGAACAGGAAAAAGTAGCATTTGTCAAACTTTGAAAAGTCGTCCCAATTGCAATGAATCTTTTACGATGAATTTTCTTTTAGCCAACAGATGCAAGTTTTAACTTTCTATACTTCATATTTACATTTCCTCTAAGAATTGTTTAAAAACAAGATTTGTTTTACTTCACTTAATGGCTCAAGGGCACATTTGAGAAATTTTCTGTTTTATACAATTAAATATTTTTTGTGCTGTTATTGATGATTTATCAATCATTAAACAACGACGATAATTAACATTATTGATTGATGCCATAAAATAAAAATGTGTTCTTCCACTTCCTGGTGGTTGGACTAATTCAATAAGAGCACGATTCGGTTTCATAAATAGAACATGAGTTAAACCAGCACCATGCACACCAATAAATACGTCTGTTTGAATAATAATATTTAATTGTTCTTCAATAGTTAATTCTTCAAAATGATTAAAACTAAAGTGAATATTCGAATAATTTGAAAACATAGTTTTCAAATCATTCAGTGTTTGTTTCTCATTTGACAATTGTCTTGTTATTTTTCCAGATGGATTTCTTGGATGTGCAACATAATTATGACGAACAAGAAAGAATACATTTAACGATTGACAATTTATTTTTTCATTACTTTGATAATTAATATTAAATTGTTTTAAAACATGTTGACGAAATTCAAAAAAAAAACTTGGTGCTTTTATTCGATTTTGTTGAAGATCTATTTCAGATTTTGGTTGTGGTTGAGACCAAATTAATTCACGATAAAAAATTGATGATAAATTTTTTAAATGTCCTAATCGTGTATATGAATGAAACAATTGTGACCATAATATATCTAAACTTCCTTTTGGATGGGCATCAAGAAAAAGAATTCGAACTGATTTTGGATCTCGTTGAAAGAAACAACATAAAAGATACACTGTATAAACATCTGTAATAGTATGATAAAAGTTAACATAATCTTGACGATTAACAGCAATTGTTGTTTCATGGATTATATGTGTCTTTTGAGGTATTTTATAAGAAGTTAATGAAGAAAAAATATTTGATAAATGACTATTAGGAATTTTATCATGAAATCCTTCAATGTCACATGGAAGCTAGAAAATAATGTTTTTTAATTTTTGTTTTCTAATAAGAAATAATAATTTACTTTGAGAAATTCTTTTTCAAACTGAAAATATTCATCCGGTTCAGCTTGATTTAAAACATCTTCAATATTGTCACCACCTAATCGTTTTCCATTGGCAAACTTAGCTTGTAAAATAATTGAATGTGTTATTACAAATAATTTATTATAAATAATTAAAGATGAATTACATAATTTGATTTCATTTTCACACCATTGTTTTAATGGATCACCAGAACAATTTAATATCGGTTCATTGAATAGTAGATATTCGTTTTGAACCACAGTGTTACTTATAGTTTTAGAAAAAGGATTAATGAGACTATATTTTATGTTAAGAAATAAAGAAAAACATAGAATAATGAAAATTGTATGTAGTAAATACTGTCGACAACGACGAATTGGGAGTTTCGAATAACATTTGACGAGCATGGAAACTAAAATATTTTATTAGAATGAAGATAGAAAAGTTTTAAAATGTTAGACTCACTGTATCTTTTCCTTACATAAAAAATTACTAACTTTGGTATGGTTGGATAGAGCATAAATTAACTTGTCGGATAACACTGTTTTCCATTGATTTATTTTGAATCTGAACGAGAACATTCAGTCAGTTTCAAGAGGTGATCAAAAAACTTTTTCACGTTTCTATCTCACTGAGGCAATACCCGGATTGTTGCGAAAAAAGTTTCAGATTGAAGAGAATCAACAAACTTGAACTTGCAAAAAGTATCGCATGAAATAGTTTTCAAATTCAAAAGGAAATTCCATTTTAATGACGAAATTTTCGACAACCATACACTACAAAGTCAGGAGTGGTGTTCGCATATTGCAAAAATTATCTCTTTGAATTCAGACGGATTAGCGCGAAATCATATATAACAGCAGAGACATTGTCGCTCTATACAATCGTAAATCTAGTAATGAAGAATGTTCAAATAAATAGGTTACTGCCACTTAATCGACAAGATCATTAATAATTGAGATTTAATCGCAATTACACTGCGCAAAAATCCATGAAATCTCCAGTCAACCTGAAGAATAAACTTGATTAAAATTATACAGTTTGATAGAGCCATTCATTTCGTATCTAGCTATGTACAGACGAAAAATGTTTATTGAATCCGTAGGTTGTAATAAGCGAATTAATCAAGAAAAAGGTTTCAAAATTCCACCGATAGAAAAACGCTTTTCAGGTGTTCGTCGAAACTGACTGACTATTCTCGTTCAGATTGAAAATAAATCAATGGAAAACAGTGTTATTCGATAGATTAATTTATGCTCTATCCAGTCATACCAAAGTTAGAACTTTTTTTATGCAAGGCAGAGACACAGTAAGTCTAGAAAAATGGTCAAAACTAACGTAATCAAGTTGTATATGATATACAGCTAAAAGCTTTGAATTTTTGTTGGAACTTACATATTATATTTTACAAAACTCTTGATATGGTTCTTTCATGAAATCGATATTGTCTCACATGGCTGTAGTACTTTTGTCAATTTTTCATAGTAAGAGCAACAAAAATGTAAATAGAATTAATGTACCTCGAAAGAAAAAATTTCGAAGGAGCTATTAAGAACCAAACCAACAAGGATTTATCATTTGAAGTACTACTTTTAAGATATATAAAAGTTGTAATATGTGAGAAAAAAAAGAAGTTTGACCTTTGAATTCATCGAGAATTGTTCATATCCACTCTATTAATCAATTTTGATCAAGCTGTTTCATAAAAACTTAACTTATCAAAGATATCATAGTTGGCTCCAATGAGCAGAACTGTAAGCATCTTGATTCTAATAATCAAAACTTTTTCCTTGTTGTCCGTTAAAACTTCATCGCTATCACGATTTTAGTTTTCTCTCTATTAAAAAGGAGATTCTTTCTAACAGACAAAGCGAATTTTCGATACACACTCACATGTAGCTAAATATAACAAAAACCTACTTATACTTCGTCTGCAAAAGATTTAAACATGTTCTAATGACTTTTCAAGACACATTTATGCAGAACGTGCTGACTTCCAGAATATTTAGTTATGAAACAAAATTTGAACAAAATAATTTTAATTCCAATATTATCACGACTAAGAATTTTGTCTGAAACTTTCAACAATAAATCCTGCTATACTTTTCAGATAAAGCTCCCCAAAATTTTCTTTACGCTCGGTCTCTATTCGTTTAGATGAGTTTGTTGAAATCTNTAAACAGGTACGTCAAAATAATGAGCGCGAAAAATGATAAAGCAAGAGAGACAGAGTTTAGCAGAAAAGACACACAGAAATTTGATATAAAGAAGATGATTTATACAGATGACGACGTACCGTGACGTCGTCCATCCTCCCGCCCCCGCCCCCCACCCCCCACCCCCCAAGCCGCTCCTTCTCTAAAGACTACTACCGAGCATGGCAGGCATCCTGACATTCCATCACAAACCAAAACAGACGCCTTAGCAATACTTAACATGTTCATCACAGACTGTGACAAATGTTATTGATATACAATCAAAGAATAAACATTAATAACGTCTCCTTATACTGTATGACTTACTTGTTTTGTATTTCTGGAGGATTAAGTAAAAAGATGAGGAAGAAATATAGTTCAAAGTACATTGTGTTTTACATATAAATCTCGCAGGGATTGTGCTAACAGCGTTTTTTCATTGCAACTTTTATTTTTTAGATACATCATTTATTAGGTTATGATCCATCAGATATTTGTAATAGAAATAGGAAAAAGAATATCAACAAGAAATCAAATATTGAAATATTTAATACAAGTCAAGATATATCAATTGTTGGTAATAATAATAAGTTATATCGAGGTCGTATTGATTCATGTCAAATAATTCCACTAAAAACTACAAAGGAAAAAAAATCAAAAATAAAAACAAATATTAATGAAAATAATGAAATAATGCAAATTAATTTCGATCAACTTGATCTAACAAATAAGACAATCGCTGATGAACATTTATTTGAATATTTAGATTGGCAAACACAATTTAATGAACAAGTATTTAGAAAAAGAAGACAAAACAACAAATTTTTTTTTTCCTTTTTGTAAAATTTATTTTATTAGGATTTACCAGATGAACTTTGTGAAGAATTATTTCATCATTGGAAATCGATTATATTTGAAGATCGATCATGTATTTGTAAATCAAAATCAAAATTAATTCTATCTCAAGAAATAGATAATCAAGAACATAATTTAATCAACACTCAAATTGATTCATCAACATCATCATTAAAAGAGATTTATGATGATCGATGTATTTGTAGTGACTGTACATGCAATTGTGAAAAATATGAAAATGATGAATCTATTTGTATTTGTTCACAATGTTCATGTGAATGTTTAAAAGATTTTCGAAATGAAAATCAAGATCATACTGAAGATTTATATGAAATATGTGAACAAAATATTTCATTTTTACAAACAGATAATAATTCACAAGATCATTTAACTAACGAAATAAATATTCATGAAAAATTTCAATTAATTCCAACTGATCAAGTATCAAATGTAGAACAAATTCAAGAAAATGATGAAAAAGACAAAATAATAATATCTGATTGTTTTATTAATCGAATTGATCGATGGACACAACAATTTGATCTTTTTCAAGGTATATAAAAAGAAAAATTTGCTCTATTCTCAAAAATACTTCAACATTAATTCTTTTTAGATACATACCAATCATTTTTACTACCTGAAAGAAATAATTGTTCGACATTGAATGATAGTTCTCAGTCTCAAATACCAGCTTCAATTGCTTTTCGATTTAATATAATTTCTAATCCACTTGAATTAGATGATCCTACACTTTTTCGACAACGAATTCTCGATCATCATTGACAATGCGAATAACCTACATATGAACAACACAATCATTTCTTTTTTTTTTCTTTAAAAATCTTAATTAAATATTCTTTTGGCTTCCTATGCCAGTCAGATATTGAATTCTTCTTAATAAACTACAAGTCATTTATTTGAATTCCATAATCAAAAAAAAAAAGAAATAAAAAAGAAAAACAATGAGAAACAAGCAACCATTATTACAAATAATTTCAGCATGCAAATCATTACTTTTTGCCATTGTACTATACAATTGTGTTGTATTGTTATTACAGTATGGTAATTGATTGCTACTTTCACATTGCACTTAGAAAAGAAATACTTTTTTTGTGAACGAGACAGAGCGAACATTGAAGTTGACAGACTTACATAGTTCTCTTTTCTCTTGTCGTGCTGTTGTTGTTGTTACTGTTGCTGTTGTTATTGTTAATTTTTTTCTCTCCCGTTGGGTGTCCGCTTTTTTCAAAAAAATAGAATCGTTATTATTATTGCTACTGTTAACATTTCGATCAGTCAAGCGTTGTGCTGCTGATTTAGATATAAGAGAAAAAAGAAATTCAAATTACTATTTTTTTCAAATAATGACCCAAATCGTATGCATTCCATCGAATACGAAATCGAAGTGAGAAAATCGAAATTAATTTTTATTTTATTCATAGACAAAAATTTTATTTTTGTCCAGATTTGGTAGTGACCCATTAAAAAGTGATTGGAATGATTTTCAACATCTTGCAACACAAAGTCGTTATCTTACACCAAAAACGTTTACTGGGTAAATATTTTAAATTTAGAAATAAAACGAATATTTTTTTGTTTTCTTCTTCTAAATAGATTTCCAGCTCATCAATCTAAATTAGCAGCAATTAAAAAACAATTATATAATCCAAATTTACCATCTATTCGACATATGGAACGTGATGATGTTTTATGTCGTTTACCAGATGAACATTGTCGTCATACAACTTCATTAACTACGGGTTTGCGTTTTATACAAATAAATTCATGTTTTTTAATTGCAGCTTTTAATTTAGGACAATTTGAAAATTTTGATCCAACTAGAGATGATGCATTTATTGAATTATTTGGATTAGTAAGCAAAAAAAATCGATTAGATTCTTGTTCAATAATTTTTCTTTTTATATATTCTAGAACTGGCACGATGCAGGTAAAACTTTGATGGATACAGATGATTCAGCACCGTTACAACAAGAGCCATCGCCAGTATTTGGTGCTAGGTTTGTATGATTTATTTTACAAATTCAAATATAACATTTCTATGAAGGTTACGACCAGACAAGTCGCAAATAGATTCACGTCCAACTCAAAGTAAACTTTATCGAAGCCCATCATTATCATGTTTATCACCTTCGGCAACATTAACAAAACCAATTAAATATAGTTATCGTAACTATGGTAGTGGTACGTTTGATCAAACTACTAAACATACAATGTGGCCACGAGTATAAGTCGTATTTATAAAAATAAATTATTATTTTTTTCTCTTTTTAGTTTCATATGAATACAAAAAATTCTTTTGATTCAATTAATCGAATGCCTCTGCCTAGCCAAATGCAGGTAAATTATTATAAGATACTTATGTATTTTTATTCAATAATTATTGTTAATTTAGAATATTTTCCGTTCAGCAAGTATGAATGTTGGTGTTTCAAATGCTCCTTGGAAATCAGCAGGTCCTATTGGTAACAGTGGTTCAAAGATAACTCCAGTTTAAACAAAAAAAAAATAATTTAGAACAGTCTTTCAATTTAACTTCAGTGCTTCATGTTTTGAGAAAGAAGAAAAGACTTGAATATGATTAATTATTGTTTGTTTTGATTAGGAATGAGTAGAACAAGCATTTCTTTTCTTCTAATAAGAATAGAAGAGCTGTGCTCGAATTATATTATTTGATAAAAATAAATTGAGAATAAAAACCTGAAATACAATGCATAAGGAATTAGTAATCTACATTTCTTATTTGCTTTTTCTAATTGATTAACAGGTAAATTGAATATGAAATTTATCTTTCGAATGATTTGGCTTGTATTATTCATTTTAATATCATAACATTGATCATTTTGAAAAATTTTGACTCTGTAAGTTTGCATCCTATCAGAAAAAAAAAACTTTTTAACAATAACGGAAAAAAATAAATATGCTTTCATAAAAGGCAATGTTGTTCTTAGTTCTCAGTCATTTTATAGTCTTTGTTCTCGATATTTATTTCATTATTGCTTTTATTTAATCTGAAAAGACACATGAAGTCGATTATTTTGACATAATAAAAAAAAATTTGCCATGGAGAACACGAAGAAAAAGACAATAATTTTTCTTTCTTCATTTATGAAAGAAAGAAAAAGTGACTGCATCCATATTATGGACACTTTTTTGCCCAATCAAGAAAAATGTCTGCAAAGCAAAGTTGGTCTGGGGCGGGGGCCGGAGAAGATAAAAGCGGCCACATAATAGAACCGAGATAAGATTTATTATATGAAAACAAGTCATTTATGAAAAATAGAAGAGTGTCTAACATTTTTAAGATTCAAGGTGTGGTTGAAGAGAAGACTCCAATACTCATACCCTAATGTTCACTCTTAAACCGGGCTACATACACTGATCCTCTTACTCTATCTATTTTCGCATGTTGCTATACTCCTACCATCTTTCTCTTCTTCCTTCCCTTCATTCCGCACTGCGAACACTTTTTTTTATTTGCAACCACTTTTATCTCCTGCCACCTCCACCAATTCTACTTTATGGATTTTTTTTTCTTCCAATTAAGGAAAAATGTCCGCGATCAAGAAAACATCGAAAAAGTACACATTATTTCAGTGCATTCACTTTTACAATTATGTAACCTGTTGTCTATCCACATGAATGGATCTTCTTTAAATAATAAAGATCAGTACGACGATAAAAAATATATTACTCATTCTTATGATAGATTTGCAATAGTAATTATGCCGGAGCAATTTAAATAACATTATGTAATTACATATTATTTAAGAATCCTTCAGAACTTAGAAGAAAAACATCTATTATATTTATTGAGATGCTTTGAAGAAATATCTTCTAGGCACGCTTTGAGCCTTATTAATTAGACGGCCTTCTTCTTTCAGAGATATGTTGAGATTCAATTTTGACAATAGTTCTATGTAGTAGTTTGAATGATACTAGGGACGTTTTCTATTAATGTTTGTGTGTTTAAACTTTTTTATTTGACATTAATTTTTTCATCATAAAGATCACAATCATTTAGAAATACGATAGAAAAGACGTACACAACTAGATGCGATACATTCAATATAGATGAAGACAAGAAAATCATACGATAACATCAAATACAACATTCAGTAACATAGTAGTAATATAGACTCAAAAAAATCGAATAACATCAAACATCTAAGATTTTTGTGCAGAGTTCATGTTATTTAATGGCCGAAGACTAATTGAATTGTCTGTTGTAAAATTAGTTGGACTGACTCGAGTTATTCCTATAAATCTGAAAATTTCATGTTGTATTATTTTTCTTACTTCACTTGACATAAATACATAAATGTAAAATGTAAATACATAATTAAAATGATAAAAAATAAGAATGACTTGACCAGCAAAATTTTCGACTGCAATACGGAAATGATCTTTTTCAACGTAACTTGTTATGTCAAGATAGACGCCTTGAAAACCAAACGGTATTCCGGATATGGCAAGAATCATAAGTTGAGGAAAGAGCATTGCACGAACTTGTTTTGTAAGACGTTCATGAGTATTGCGAATAATAGTCGAACGAAGATTCTTTATAGTACCTCTTGTACAATAGGTAACCACTGTAATAGGACCTATACAATAAACCAACGGTGTGAACACATATGTATTGAACGTTGTGTATGAACCGGGGACGAACGTACAGACACCATGTCGGATTGCAGTAGAAAATATGACCGGTATATAGATGACGATCCAAAAGAGAATATTACAGACAACAATTATTCGAGCAACACGCAGGGAACTCCAACGATTTCGAAAAGCTACTCTTCGAGAAGTAGAGGCATATTGATCGAAAGAGGCCCAACATGGAAATGAAATCGCAGCTACTGTTGTTACATAACGTAAGTAGGTATGCTCACGACAAGCAGCAACATTTGTATTCATTAATGAGGTATTGAAACCGTAAACAAGGATCATTTGAATATAAATTGTGGGCAAATGAATACCTGTTACAATTGCACCTGCCAATAAGTAAGTTATAGTTGTATTCCTCCAAAATGAACGTTTTCGAGTAAAGACTATCACAGTTAACAGTGAGCCCATAATACCTAGGATCAGAAAGGGTATAGCAAATACATAATTAAGAAGACGAGTTAATAGCTCGAATGTTGCTGCGCCCGACATTTCTATGTAGAATATACTTTGTGCTCTCCTTTTATCTAGAAAATAAATAGCTAATTTCTTCTCTCAACTCAACACCTATTTTATTAAGATTCTCGATACTTCTTTTCTTTCTCATTATTGTTTGGCGTTTGTCTATTGGTGCATCCTCAAGAAATGAAGGATATGAAATGATCACAAGATACTAATGCTTGGTTTCACTACCTTTGGCACGCTTATATAGTCAGTTTTTGGAAAATAATTAGACGTAATGGATATTATCACGCATTATGATGTATAAATAGTAGATCTAATTACATGATAATGTAACCTATTTCATGAATGTTCACACATTATTTGTCAAATAGTTTTTTAACGTACTATAATTCTTGGAGTTTTTCAATGCATTATTGGTCATTGAATAATTATTTGATAACAACACATTTTAATGAACTACTTTTTTTTTATAAATTAAATGAATTGGGGTCGCTAAGAATGGCAACGAATTGTTATGCTTTTTATTTCGTTTATTTTGTAAAGAAAATAATGCATTATAATTCATTGTTATCAAATAATTATTCAATGACCAATAACCCATGTAAAAAAAGACGCCCAAAAAATCAGATTATAATCTATTATAATGGCACTATTTTAATCTGATTAAAATCAGATTTTTCAGCATTAAAAGAAAAAATTATTTTGATTTTAATCTTTTTTAATCTATTATAATCGATTACCAAAATTT